AAAAAACATGTCAAAATTAAGTGAGTTTTTGCTTAGAACAAACACAATAATCTTATTTCAAACAGAAAACAAGATTATTTTGTTTACCCCATTGGCAGATTATTTTGCTTGTTTCAGGCAAAAACTCACTTAATTTTGACATGTTTTTTCTGAAAACCAGACAATAATTTGTCCTTCTTGATTTAAGAATTTTTAGATATTCTGGCTGGAAACAAGACAAAAAAAACATTTTTTTTTTTGCAGTGCAGGATTTACAAACTGGAAAGAAAGATTGCGGAGAATGCTTTTATCAGCAATACTAGCTAGTTATTACAAACCTGTGTTATTTTAGTATTGTGGTAGCAGTTTACAATAATATTCTGTTTGTTAATATTAATTAACTGCATAGTAAACATGAACTAAGAATGAAAATACTTCTAAAACCTTCATTAATCTTAGTTAATTTCAACATTTACTAATACATTATTAAACTCAAACGTCGTATTTGTTCATATTGTTTAAAGGACCTGAGCTAACATGAACTAACAGTTGTATTTTTTAGGGATGCACGATATATCGGCCACCAGATCGGTATCGGCCCATATCTGCTCATTTTTTCTGTTATCGGTATCGGCCTGATAAGAAAATTTGGCCGATATCTTAAAGCCGATAAATAATGCATTATTTCCTTCAGAGACACTTCAGATGCGCGCTGTTCGTTTGCAGCCTTTTGTGCAATTGTACGTTGTAATATTGTGTTTATTTGATGTATATCTGATTTATCTCATATAGAATGCGTTTGGTTAAGTTAAAAGAGCGCTTCAGTTTACCGGTGATCGTCTTTAGCTCAGCGCACGCAGCTCAAACAGCAGTGCACAACATTAATAACTATGATTGGGAATGTCGTGTATATAACATTCTAATGAGAACATTATTATAATAAAACGTTGTGCATTCTTTGGGTTTAGTTGCTGTGTTTCAGCGCGTTGTTATGGGAAGAGCGCATCCACAACAGGATCACACATTCTGACTATAGCATGCAATAACTGCGTCATTTTGTACATATATAAGTTGTAATATTATGTTTATGTTGTATTAATATTAATCTCAGGATGCATTTCCTTGAGTTAAATAAGCTGCCAGCAAAACGCTTCAGTTTACCGTGTTCATTCAGCTCTTCAGCTTCAGCTTGAGCTGCAGCTCAATGGCTGCTATTTAAAACAGTGGTATTAATTTGTTACTTTTTCAAAATCATTGATATATTATTAATAACAACAACCACTTGTATTTTTCTCTTATTATTTTCATCAACAATATGGTTTATATTAAAATCATTTAATTATTGTCCGTGCAGAGGCTATTCCGTTTTATTGATCTATGGCGCATTCATTTTGATTCTTTACACGTGTAATGATGTCCAGTGACTTGTTTGCATTATTTATGCATAATTTTATTTATTTGTAAGACTTTTTTATGACTAAATTTGGTAATGGGAGAGTAAAAATATTTTTAAAACGTACACCGTTCAGACTAGGCTGCTTATGTTGAAGTGTTTGGGATGTGGCTTTTAATGATGAGACCTTTTTTGTAATCAGGCTCTCAAAAAGTATATAACAATTTGGATATAGATTTATCGGCCAACATATCGGTTATCGGCTTTCAAAAATAAAGAATAATCGGTTATCGGTATCGGCCAAAATTTTCATATCGGTGCATCCCTACTCAGTTGGCAAATCAATCTAAATATCAATCTTCTATTTCTGCAGCCTCGCAAAGGCAAGGGCAAATCTAATGAGGTAATGTACCAATTACTATTTTTAAACACTTGGTTTGATATGTATCTTAATGGCATTTGCATATTTAAACATAAAAATAACTTTTTATGACCACCTTGTATATAACATAATATTTATCTACAAATATGCTCATACAAGCATATTTTTAACAAGTTACTTTTCCCAAATTTATCCTCTAAGTTAAGTGTCTTGTAAGGTAAGGTAATCACAAAATGGTAGGTTTAAAACAGACTAGTTTTGTTTAAAAAAAGAAAAAAAAAAAGAAGCCAAAACTCATCAAAGTCATTGGTTTCTTCCTTTAAAGGGTCGAACAGGGAGAAACAGGGATGCAGCCGAGGCTGTGGAGATGGAAACTTTTCCCACTGATACATTGCACAATTAGCACACAGCACAAGCTCAGGAGCAACCTGTATACGTATCTGCCAACTAATAGATAAATTGTGTATCTTTGTTGAATGCATGTTAAAAAAAAATAATAATAATTATTTGTTACTTTGCCTAACTAACCATATACTACAATTCAATGGTTTGGTGTCAGTAAGATTAAAAAATAATAATAAAAGGATTCCTACTATTTAGCATTAGCAAGGATGCATGAATTTGGCCAAGTGTCGGTAAAGACATGTTTATAATGAATGATAAAGATTTTTATTTCAAATAAATGCTGTTCTTTTGAACTTTCTATACGAAGAATCCAGAAAAAGTTAATCATGGTTTTTATAAAAACTAGTAAGCTGCACAACTGCTTCAAACATAAGGAATGTTTTTTGGGCACCAAATCAACATTATTAGAATGAATTCTGAAGAATCACGTGACACTGAATTCTGGAGTAATGAGTGTTGAAAATTCAGCTTTGCCATAACAGGACTAAACAAAACATGTTAAAATATACTAAAATAGACAAGTTATTTAAAATTGTTATTGTTGTTTTACAGTACTACTGTTTTGCTGTATTCTAAATTAAATGCATCTTTAGCGAGACTTTTCAAAAACATCAAAAAATCTTGCAGACCCAAAACTTTTGAACAGTAGTGTGCATTATGTATGCATGTATAGAATTTTTTAAATTACAATACAGGATATTGAATGTTAATGCAAGGCATGAACAGATCATGTTTGATCAATTTAAGTACTAAATCTCTGTCTGGAGAGTACTGTTTTTTTTTTGTTTGTTTGTGTTTTTACATATTTTGTGTGTACTACTGTAAAGCATAAGTCTAAAAATAAATTTAAAATGATATCAACTCCATAAATTCATCAACATGATCCAAAATGGCAAATATTAACAGACCAAAGACATGTACGAATATTAAAACACTTGGAAAATGGTTTAATGATGTTTACAACAAAAGAGAACTGTACAGTTACAGTAAAATATTATCTTTATATATATATATATATATATATATATATATATATATTGCATTATGTATGCATGTATAGAATTTTTTTAATTACAATACAGGATATTGAATGTTAATGCAAGGCATGAACAGATCATGTTTGATCAATTTAAGTACTAAATCTCTGTCTGGAGAGTACTGTTTTTTTTTGTTTGTTTGTGTTTTTACATATTTTGTGTGTACTACTGTAAAGCATAAGTCTAAAAATAAATTTAAAATGATATCAACTCCATAAATTCATCAACATGATCCAAAATGGCAAATATTAACAGACCAAAGACATGTACGAATATTAAAACACTTGGAAAATGGTTTAATGATGTTTACAACAAAAGAGAACTGTACAGTTACAGTAAAATATTATCTTTATATATATATATATATATATATATATATATATATATATATATATAAACAAAATAAATACAGCAGACAAATGCATCAAATCTACCATGTATCCTGATTCACATACTTATATTCTACACAATCATTCAGTTCTAAGCTACAGCGATGTAGCCGTTTAGCGTTCAGTCTTGGGTATATGTCGCTTGATAACAGGCCACGAGTGGCACTAGAGTTCAGGTCTGTAGTGATACTCAGAATCCAAGCAATCATCACTATTACAACAGTGAGTTACAGCATTCTGAAGGGAGATATAGAAGTACAATCTACTGTATGCGACAGGGTGAAAATGGAACACATTCCTTGAGCTTCAGCCGCAGGAAACATGGAAATGAGAGTATAGAGAGGGATTTCTTTTGAAATCAGTGACTAAAGCATTATGTACATAGTCTTTTTTTATCTTAACTTTTTTCTCTTTTGTTTTAAAAACAATGATAAGTTGGGCAGTGAAACTGATATCACATACATTGACATCCAAAAACATACAAAAATACTATTTCTTTAACCTACAGTAAGACAGTTTTGCAGTTAAATTCCATGCTGTGACAGAAAAAGAGCAACAGATCCAACGAACAAGAAAATGAAAAATGACAAAATGACTTTTCCCCCCCCCCCATAAGCATCTCAGAAAAATACCAAAATATACATCTAAACTTTGGAATTACTGAGGTTAGGACTACTGTCAGAGCTGGGTTCTGTTTCTTAATACACAAGCTGAAGGGTTTGGGAAGGAAGAGGAAAAAGAACAGAGTAATCTTTGGTATCTGCACTTGTAAAACATTTCATATTTGGATATTTTTGCTTTGGAATAGAGCTTATAGTTGCTTTTGACCCTCCACTCGGCATAAAACTATTAAGATCCATCTGAAAAGGGCCGTGTCGCACAGACGCCGCTTTTGCAGAATAGAGGACAACGATGCATAGTTGCACAGCTGATCAAACCAATTGAAATCATAATAGTGGAAACAGCAAAGCTAGATAAAAGACATCGACAAAACAGTGAAACCACGGGACGACGGCACCTAAAAGACGACTATGGAGAGACATTGCATGTTTTCTGTAGACAATCATAGAAACAGTGTTGCCTTGCTGCAGCCACAGAGTGGAACTCCAGAGGACAGTTTATCCTGAGCAGGTTGCAGTGAGCCCAGGACATCCTTCAGCGTGTATTAATAAACATCACCCAGCCCACGAGGGGTTACTTTAAGTCCTTTCCAGAAGCCGGCAGAGCTGTTTTGCTTCCTCTTTCTACTAAACCCCGCCCACTTGGCCACGAGTGACCAATGATCTAAAACTGCAAGTTGATAGTTGAGGCAGGGCACTAGAAGAGAGAGTTTAGTCCATACAATCACTTTGAAAGTCTTTGGTTACCACTGAGAAGGTGAGGAACAAGCAGACCGCTAACCCAGAAGAGCAACCGGCACAAACCCTGCAACAAATAAGGGTTAGGGGTTTATAAAGACGACGATTGTCAAATTATTAAAAAAAAGCTTTGGTATAAAATGAATAAGGAGCTATAGAGTGAACTTAAATTTGTGTTAAAAGCAAAATATAAATAAGTGGGATGGGCTTCTTATATGCATGAGCTTGTGCGGCCTTATGGGTATCCATCCGGTTCCTCACTCAAAACTTTAAACAGACATCTGCAGGCTTCCGTTCTGGGGCCGATCTTTTTTTTTATATTATTTCATCTTTTGAAGTAGATTAAAGCAAGTTTTTACTCAGTTTCGAGTTATAAATGAGGTATACAACAGCTCCTTTATTCAGACCAGCTCTCGCTCGGCTCTCTGGTGCATGACCTCTTCTGCAACTATCCTATTTTGTCACTAGACTGAGGGTCTACAGCGGCAAACCCCGCTACAATCGTGAAACTATCCAATCACAAGTCAGAGCATCCACACACGCCAAAATCAAGTGGCGCAACAACTTCAAATTTACAGAGCTTTTGCCAGGTTCAACATCCTTGGATAAATCACATCCCAAACATCTCATGAGCACACATGTTAAAAAAGATATAATTTACAGCCAAGTGGTCAATTGCATCAAATGATGTATGATGCGTCCTTTTATCCACTTAACAAAAAAAAATAAATCCTGTATTTCCTACCAAGGAGTCTCACTAAAAAGTCTCACTTTTAAGATATGACGTCAGACAGAACCTCTCTAAAGTATTATCTTTCAAAGTAAATGCACCACTAGTGCCCCCTACATATCAGCTGGAGTTGAGTTATTAGTAAAGCTTTTAACAGGTATCCAACAGACTTGAATTTTACCTACAAAAAATAGGTAGCAACACTTCCAAAATATCACAAAACACAAATAAACTCACAGCGTTATTTTCATGGTTGATATGCACACCATGTGAGTTTTAACATTGGTGCATGCTCAGTTGCATCTCCTTTCACATGCGCGCACACACACACACACACAAATTCACAACCAAACAAAATCATCTCTCACATCAACATATTACAGTTTGCTACAATGTGTCAAACTCAGAAATAATAGTAAGGCATAAATGATAAATGCGAGTTTTTGTCAAACTACGAAAGCCAGTGACGTTGCTTCCTCATAATATACAAAAAAGGCATAAAGTAATTAAACTCAAATGATTGTTAAAAAGCAACATGGCAAATTAAATTCATAAAAAGCAAAGCAAAAAAAAACGAATTTGGTGCTATCAAGTCTGTTACATCAATGAAAGCTTGGGGCTTTCCTTTAGGAGCACCATCACAAGCCCCTCCCACTCAAACAATCCACATTTAAATGTGAGCCGGGCACACAACAGCCACTCCCACATCACAAGGGTGTGGTTGCAATTTTTGGTCTTGACTTTTTTTTTTGTTTATTTTTTTATTTTTTAGAATAGCTATAATATAAATGAAGTAATTTTTTTTTTTTTTTTTCCTTTTAGTGAATAAGCATGACAAAAACACTACATTCAAACTAGATATTAGTTCAAATATAAAATATGAGCATCTTACATAAGTGAATATATATAGAATTTAGAAAAGAAGTTCTTTAATCTTTGAGTCATTCCTCAGATAAATATATCAGTAACTCCCCACAGTCCCGGTGACTACCGGGTCGTGACACTAATGCGCAAAACAACACAAAAATCTACATGTCCAGAGAGGCTACGTTGAAATTTCCGGACAGAACCAGCGGAATGAGCAGCAACAAGACCCAGCCGCAAAGACAAAGGCTTTTTTTTTTTTTTTACTTTGGCAAGTAGGATAACAAAATATTCATTACAAGTTAACCTGGACATACCCTTAAGTAGTAGTAATAGTAGTACTTGAAATAGCAGTAGTAGACTTATGTGACATTATTATTATTACAGATTTTCCTGTTATACTTTGTAGTTTTACACGTTGGTCATTTTAAAATGGACTGTCAGAAAGAGCTTTTGTACATTCTGGAGTTGACTACTGGTGACTTTTGCTTAAAGTGAACCTTCCATGTAAGTGCTGCTGAGGTATTTCAAATCATATTAACAATAAAACACACATAGCGTCGCTAACGAACAGTCGTAACAAAAATTGACAGACAGGGCCACAGTAACGAATGACAAAATGGACAGTAAGGGGAGACTGACCTCTTCGTCATCAAATTTAAAATGTGA